ATATATATATATATATATATATACATGAATGAATGGGATAATGAAATAGGATATTATATATTTGGTTAACTTGTAGGAATAAAATGGTTTTTCATATGAATTTTGTATATTATATGTGGGGTTTTAAGATGCATTGTAACATCCTTAAATTTATAAAATAGCAGACAATTAAAATTTATTTTAATAATAAAATACTTAAAGTTTACAAAAGAAGAGAAGATATATATGCATCAGAGTTCTAAACAGACAATCTAATCTTTGATGTAATTAGAGTAAGCTGGAGGTTACTAAAACAATCAAGTTTGCTATTTTAAAAAAAGCGGATGATGCCTATAAAGCCATCCTATCAGAACTTCTACAAAGATTCAAGAGCTACACAGATCCCCCTAAGACCTTATATACATGTCAATAAGAAAAGGTATTAGGCTTAACGCCTAATGAGTTAAAACATCATATAAATATAAAACGGTAAATCGAACAATTTCCTTTAAACAATGACTCATTTATTTAAAATGTAACTCATAAAAGGAGCATCTTTTCAAAGCTCATTATTTCCAAATCAAGTACCCATTTTAGAATGATAACAATATTCAAACTCCCCCAAAATATGCATAAGACTCACACTTCAAAACATCAAACACATATAATTGGCTTTATATCCAATTAAAACATCGAAATCATATGTGGCAAAGCACCAAAAATAACACCTTTCGATGATGAGGGAGACATGTTTCCATCGAATGTGGCACGAACACAAAAGTAAATCACCTATCAACGTTCTCAAGTTTCACCTCGGGCCATGGATCCTCGTATACGACTCCATTGAGCACCATCATAAGATTCTCACAGTGATCCTAATGTCTGATCGACCTCTAAATGAGTTTCACCATAAAAGTTAAGGTCTCCATATACGGCTCCAACAAACACCATGCAAGACCTTGCTCTGTATATGACTCAAGGGGTGTTTATTTAGGACGTAATGAGGTTAATGAGTTAAACAACTTATTTGCACAACCAAAATGGGGTGTTTACTTGTGGCTTATTTAGACAACTCTTGGCTTATTCGCACAAATGGATATGGCTTGTTGTCCATGTTTAACCCAAAAAAATGACACATCTACCCTCCCTATTCAATAAACACAAAACTGAATATCCCTAGTCGCTCGCCAAAATATGGAAATCCTTCACTATTGGTTCGATCTCAACCCTAGGCAAGGATTTTCTTCAATCGATTTCTCCAAAGGTAATGATTCACTTCACCGATTGTTCGATTTTTCCTCCAATTTAATTCTGATTTCTCCGTATCATTGATTATTCGATTTCTTCTTGACATTCCTCCTTTACAGTTCGATTTATGTAATAATGACTTTTGCAATCTCGATTTCTCCACTTTGTTGATTTAATTCTTGCTGTATTTGATTCTAATGTACATCCATCCTTCCAAGTCTTCAACATATTGTTCTATACTTGTTGTTCCATACTCGCTGTAATATATTTGTTCAATACTCGTTGTATTATATATGTTCCATATTTGTTGGATTATATTTGATTTTGCTAGATTATATTTGCTATTAAGATGAAAGTAAGTATGGACCCATGACAGTATAACATGAATGGGCCCATAAACTATCACCTTATTATTGATAGGGAGGGGGGAGACCCCTCCAGAAAAAAAAACTATCACCTTATTAAAGCATAATAGCAAAAGGTTCCAAACCTCATGATTTGTACTCTCAAAATTCTCACAAGCCAATGAAAGACGTTTATCAAAGATTTATATAGTTATGACCAAGAAGGGCTAAATTGCCGCTATCAAAAGTTCATAAGTTGATTTAAATCCGAAAACAACACTTGAGCTGAGCTACCCCAACGTCAATAAATCGTTCAACTTCTTTAACTAAATCCAACAGAATTAATATTAACCTAAGAGTACAATTTTCAAGAATCAAAATCATATTTTGCCCCATATTATCCAAATATTCAAGAAACCTTATTTGATGCAATAAATATTATTTGTTGTCTCAAAACACCAAATAAACACGTCATAACTATTCTTTAAAGATTTCATAACCCGTATATGCCCAATGCACAAATATTCCCAAAACTCGTTAAAAGTGGAATAAACTCGTTAGGGTGTTTTCAAAACTCAAAATAAAGATATTTTGACATGTATATAGTTTTCCAAAACAACTAGACTTTACCTTGCTAAATTTATGTTAAATCTTGGTTTTTAAACTAAATCTTGAGCTCCTCAAGTTACACCTCCAAATCTATGGTGCAAAGCTCTCAATAACACATTGCTTACTCCGTAATCTTCCATAAATAAACACAAGAGAAGATGACTGTCGAGGGTGAAAATAGACCAAACCCTAAATCCAAATGTCGAGGGTAACTAGATCTTACCTTTATCTTCTAGCAACTTAAACTCACAAGCAAAGTTTTTAAAACCCCCCAAGAAATCCGATCTAAACCCCCAAAAGTGGTCAAGGTTGAAAGAAAAGAAGGAGGAGAAGGAATGGTGGAAAAATAATGGAGAAAACCCCCCAAAATCGGGCATTTTAGGGCCTCTAGGCGACTTACGTGACCTTGTCAACAACCGAAGGTCGCGCGGCAGGTCGCTCGAGGAGTTCCAGCCTCATGCCAACAGTAGGTCGTGCGACTTGTGCTACGACCTTGGTTGCACATTTTTCGAGTTCTTCGATTTTTGCGCCCAGTTCAATTCCCAACCGTTCCAAAATAATAGTTATGAAAAACCTCCATACTTTATTTATATTGTATTATAAAACATTTGACAAAAACTCTTAAAAACAAATTTTATACATAAAATATTGTTTATTGATATATATTACTTAAAATTCAAGATTACAAGTAGAATATGCATGAGCACATCTTATTAAAGCTCCATGTTTGAATTCGTGTAACTAATTGCAGATAAACATAATCAAATACATGATAAACATTATTTTGAATATAAAAATCTAAAATATAGTTAAAATAATCATTGAATTCTAACATAATACTTAATTATTATCTTAAAAATTATTATATTAAACCAAAAATAAATTAGTTCGTTATTAAACTTCAATTAAATTATAATAAAAAATTGAATTAAATAAATTACACAAAAACGAGAACTTTTATATAGTTAATTTGATACCAATATTGATTATTTTTTTCAAAATTTTATAATATCTTCAAATTTATATTTCATTCAAAAATATAAACATTTTCATTTTCTCAAAACCACATAAAATCACATTATAACATCAATACGAACAAAATATAAAACGAAACATTAAAATCAAGATGTATCTCGCTGCATTACGCGAGTACCATTCTAGTTGTCTTAAAAGCCACTTGATAGAGTGCTTCATCATCAAAGGATGCCCCAATACTATGGGTGTTACATGACGTGTCTCCACTGTTAAGATAAGATTTATAGTGTTTGTATAAGTCGTGACTCACGACATGGCGTCTTGAGGCGTGTCATGACAGGCTGTGACGTGTTTTTTTTTATATAAAGTGTCTCTTTCTATTTATTTATTTTTTAAATTAATTTATTTAGTGTTTTTATACTTTTAACTTTATTATATTTTATAGATTATCTAATCACATCACTCATAATTTCATGTATTCGTACGCATCACAGTCACGATTAAAACGAAGTTATAAAACCCTTCAGTATCTATTTTGAATATCCGATCATAAACTTTTTATATAATACGATTTATCTTCTTTTAATATCATTATTTTATTAAACAATAAATACAAAACCTATGTATATACATAATCATATTATAAGACACACAAATTTGTTGTCTTATGTTACGTCTTGAAAAACGTCACATCCTTGTTGTAGCGTGCGTATCAAACCTTACCACCTCGACACGTTTTACATCATTTAAAACATTGATTAAACATTATTGAATATTTTATTTACAAATATAAAAATATTGAACCAAATATAGTTTTTTGGAAAAATAGTATTTTATTAGGAATAAATAAGAATTGGAAAATTGAAACATCAAAACGGAGGAAGTTGCACAAGTAATAATGGAAAGGAACCTTTTTTTTTTCCGCAAGCGTACAAGATTTCCCCAAAGCTGAAAGTTTATTTTGAAAAGAAAAACTAATATTTAAATTTCAAATATAATATTTAATTATTTTCAAGAAACTTATATAAATTAATTATTTGGGTTTTTAAATAAAAATACTAATTATTTCAGAAAAACAAAGCCTACAAATTAATAGGGAAATGTTTGTTTTATTTCTTAGTTATTTTTCTTCTAAAATTATCAAAATCTCACTACCTCCACAAGTGTCAGATAGATAAAAATGTAAAAAATAAAATAAAAATAGAACCAGGTCCATAAATGCAAGGATCAAAATCTATTTTACAGATTTGGTCTTTATACTTATAGACTTGATTCAAAAATTTCTTTTTATTACATTTTGACCCTTCAGTATATTATGGGCCCCTCATTTGCAGAGGTATTGACGTTCTCATGATTTTAAAAGAGAAATGATTAAGAGATAAAATCACATGTAAAAAATGGTTATTTTAATTAATATTGTATTGATGAAAGTTAGCAAGTCCCATCCATTCATTTGACCACGCTAAACCGAGCATTTCTTGTTTCTATTCCCATTTTTATGAACACATAAGTTGAAAATAAATCATATATTTGGTGTTTATTAGATGTTTTGTGCGTGTATGTATACATATGTAAAGGATTAGGTTCATGTGAGACCAATATGTTTTTATGAGATCCATGAGACCACTTTTTGACACTTGAAACTTCACACGAAACATGTTGATCTCACGTGATCCCAAGTCTATAAGTAAATATTTGTTCTTTGCAATTTGTTAGCAAATTGTTGCTTCTTCACTAGCTAATTATTTAGTTGTGTATGTCAACCATTCGTTAAGACATCTTTTTATTAACTAGCTTAATCTAAATAAGTCGAAATCTCATTTTTAGGGTAATCATAGACTTTTTTTCCTAATTAAATTACATGAACTTTTTTATCGTGAAACATTAATAGACTAATTAATCAATGTCTCAAAATATGCAACCGATTGAAATAGTTTCATCTAAGAAATCAAGACTTGATACACATTTAGCACTTACCGGGTAAATTGTAACATACAATACCGTTTTGATGGACTAAATTTTTTACCCTAGCGTTAAATTTTACTAGCAAACGCTTACCGGACAAGTATTTGATAAATGACCCCTAAGTCACTCACATAAAGTAATCGGGGGAAGTAGTTGTAGTTTTGAGGTTTAGAAGCAAGAACTGATAAGTGATAATAGTTGCTTAAGGTAAAAGTTCATAAAAACCGAACAAACTATCCTATTTTGAATAATTAATGTCCCTAAACTATTTTTTTTTAATGAAAAAACCATTAAACTCTCATTTTCAACCAAAAAAAACATTAAATTTTCTCATTTTCAATGATTAAATCCGTGGACATTCTTTTGTAATAAATAAACTGTCAGAACTTTTAGAAATTAGTTACCTACAACTTTTTAACAAAAAGACTACCTGTAATAGACTAGAAAAGTCATAAAGCAAAAAGAAGCTTAAATCAGTTTTACCGTATCCAAATCCTACACCCTTCAAACCCCTCGCACACAACGGTAAATCATCACTCGTCCTCGTCACTCCCTGTCGCCCCCCACAGGTTGACCCTAATCCTATTCCAACCCAACCATGACCACCTGTAAAATTCAGATTTGAGTTTCAGTTTAATTGGCCTATCAGATTTTTGTACAACTCTATCTGTAGTACTAATTACATCAGGTAATGTTCCAAGGCCCGTTTACTAACACAAATCAGGTAATTGCTAACGAAGAGAGACTTGGCAGAAAGCAACATCTTTGACCGGATAAACACCTCTTACCCGGTAAGACGGCGGTAAGCATGTAATAAACAACCTTTTACTTCATATCGTACATGCTTGGGTCATTTAAAGCAAACACAAATAATATCTTACAAAAGTAATCGACATTTTGTAGCAACTGTCAACCTTATAGTCGCTATGGTTTTAGTCACTGACCGTTATTTTTTCCTCTTCTTGTCAAAGGCTTCTATGTTTTGGGGTTCACACTCGGCACTGAAAAGGCGAACCAGTAAAGCTGTGCTTGCACTTACAGTCAAGGCTCCGGTACCTGCCCACCTCAGACTTCGAGGAACGTTCACTCTAGGACCTGCCGCACCAACAGTTTTACGTCATCTTCTGTCTCATAAACTCAAAAAATATACATATGCCTCCTACCGATAATAGAATATATTTTCCGTCCAATATATTGTTGTTAGACATCATGGCCTCATAATCAAACACTGAATTAGATAGAGAAAAACTTCATTTTCGTAGAAAAAACATGCATAAATCACTAACCACAAGCTAGCCTTTTACATCATCTTCAGAATCAAACAAAAGCCTCCAACATAATTTTCTAATATTCTAACCTTGATTATAGTAAATGATAGACATGCTTCCTACAACATAGAAAGATGTATCCTTTTGGATTAAGAGATTCTAGCGTTGCAATCCCCTCTTGATCATCGCTAATCATACTCTACAATACCAAGCAATCCGCTTACCATGCCAATGTAGGAAGAATGTAAAGAACTGCAGACCAAACGTTCTACAATATCAAGAAAAACGTTTGAAACCAACACCTATCAAGCATCCGTGAGTCCATATAATAAATAACCTATACTGAAAGCCTCCTACTAAATTAAAAACGAAGAGATTGACCCATATGAATCTCCTCTTAAACAGCATTAAGAATAGCATACCATTGGGTAGATGAAATGGCCAATGATGAATGGTAGGGTGGACAATCACAATATGCACACAAGTCATCTTGGTCGCAAAGTATACTCATAAGCCTCACAATTTTCTTGGCTGTTATCACATGGTGTAGAATGTGGAGCCTGTAGGTCCCACATACACAAATACTGACCCTAATGCTTAGCAATATTGAATATGAGGTTAATGGGTTTTGGGTCTATAGACAGATACGTTGGGGAGTAGAGAGCTCTCCGGAGCAGAACTATTGACGAGCACATGATAAAGAGCCAGATCAAATGAATGTCGTCTTCTTCTAAGGGGGCGAATGGGTTTGAGGGATTTGGATTTTATAGAAGGATTTCGAATTAGAGAGATTTTGGATTTGGAAGAATTTTAAATCTTTGGTGTGTTTGGTTAGTAGGATTCGCAATGGATTTGAATTCCATTTTTTATAAATAATTTATAAAAACAAATTATAAATAATTATAAAAATAATTAGATTACCTTTTATTAATTGATTAATATAAACAAATGTTTTCAACATATTTTAAAACATTATTACATAAAAATCCTACAAAATCCCATGAAATACAACCACCCCCATGGGATTCTAAATCCCATGTTTGTGGGATTTCAATGAAATCCTGGGATTTCAAATCCAAACAATCCTTCAAACTGAAAATGGGATTGGAATGGAATTGAATTCCAAATCCTATCCAATCCTACAAACCAAACAGGACCTAAGTGTACACCAAAATGGAACAGTAGACCAGATGAGGTGGCTTACTTATTACATATCCAGATACTGACGCCTATTGTCTAAATGTGCAATACTTACCAGTTTTCATTCAAGACTAAGCTGAAATCCCCTCCTGATACTACATAAGGATTAAGAAAGATCTAGTTTACCTCTCGCTACATCCTAAAAGGGGATAAGAGGAAGAAAAATAATATAAATAAAGGTGATCAAGTGAATATATGTAATCATTGTAGAATTTAAGACCATTGCACTATGATTTCCAAGGGAAAATTGATAGTGAAGGCCCCACTAAATCTTGGAAAGCAAGGTAAGGAAGGGGTGTTCATTTTGCTCATTCCCATGTAAAGGTGAAGTTTAATCTGAAACAAAGGGTAGATAGAAAAGGAACGGTTTAAAATCCTTATATATTGACGTTTTAGCCTCCATCACCCTTACTAACTGTAAATCTTCTGTTCCAAGGCTGCATGTGCCATAAGTTTTGAATAGGGGAACCAGTTCAACAGAGATTCTCTAACTCTCTGTACCCAACTATAGCCAGACAACTTCCAGTTCTATGTTCATTTTATCAACATAATTAGTGACCATATGGCAATAGTAATGCTCTAAATAAAAAATAATAATGGTGGATACAAATACTTTAACATGGAGATCCCACCACTTGAGGCTTCAGCTTGTGCTAGTACAAACTAAACACATTCAAGTTGGCGTTCAAGCTTAACAAAGAGCAACTGAACCAAAGTAAGGAACAGTGTACTCATATGAACATATAATTGTTGTAAAGTCTGAGACTTCAACTTCATATGTAAGTATACAAAATTAAACTTTCAAGTCTAACAAATAGCAATGGAATAGAAATAAAACACATTTAGCAAAGAAGGGTTGGTACGCATATGTTGAAATGAAGTAGCTCCATGGCTTGCTCAACTTCACATGCAAGAACTCAAACATGCTACTTAAGTATTCATTTAAGCATAACAAAGAGCAACAGAAATAGGTTGAATAAGAGGATTTAGGACAAACCGTAATGCAAACGACAGAGAATCCAAAATCCTAGAGCTCCTCCAACGCTAAAAACCCCAGCAGTATGCCTCATCAATCTCGAACAAGGTTTTGCATCAGATCTCATCAGCTCACCATCAGAAAAACCAAAGAAACGCCTCAGCGCCATTGCTTTACTGGAAAGCCTTGCAGAGAATAGTTAGGTCGGTCTACTAATGATTCAACAATGCTAATTTCCAAGAAGTAAACTCAGATCAACCTGAATCCAACAAAAAGAACGTCTCAAAACTGTAGATTATAACATATATAAGCAGCATACCCCTTTTACTCAAAAAAACATGGACACAGTTGATATATAGCATATCTGTGCTAGCACGATATAGTATTGAATTATAGATATATAGCATATAAGAAATTCTGAAGCACTTAATGATCTATAGTCTAAGAATTGCATTCAAAAAGAAGAAATATGCACACGCTAAAAGCCAATGGTGTCGTAGTCTTTTAGCATAGCAATTCTTTGGAATTTCCATTTTTTCTTAAAATGGTTAAAACTTTTGTTAATAAGTGGAAGCACCAATTGTCAAATAATATGCAGGTTACAAAGTTTCTTGTAACAAGATAAATTGTATACAGTCCTTTTAATTCCCAAATAAATATTGCAGATAAACTATGACCATCAAAAACACGGTTGTATTTTTGCTTGGACGAGTCCTCACGTCAACCACTAGATGGGAAACTCTAGTGCAAATTTGCTGCTGAAATGTAATCTAATAATGAATCAGAAAACATCAGGCCTCCTACAGATTTCATTGTTCACTTAAACAGTTTCATCCTAGTCCAATGCTGTTCATCACGCCGCTATAGCGGTTTGCAGTCTTGGGAATAATAGCGTTGGTGAAATAAAGGTCAAAATAGCGGTTCCGTTATTATCGCCGAATACCACTATTTAACCGTAATTTGGTTTCAAAATAGCAGTGCTATAGCTGCTATTTGCTAAAAAAAAAAGTCTTTTCACTTTTAGCTTCTTTGCTTCTTCCAAGTTCCACCACAACGATCACAATAAGCTTCTTTAGGTCCTTATACCATTCCACAAGTACAATGACAAGGTTTCTTTTGGTTTCCACTGTTTCACGAGGAAAACAGTAAACGGGTTTGCTAACCAGCCTTTTGAATCTACAACTTCTGTTTAACAGTCATCGGGTTCAAGAATTACACAAACACTTTTGCTATTTCATCTATGTAAAGCTTGACTTGTTTAAGTTGATGTTTTGATGTTTAAACTATATATTTTTTGTTGAATACGTATACTGTTTCATGGACCGTGTTACCATCGCGATGTTTATATACTGTTTAAGTTGATGTTTAAACTGTATATTTTTTGTTTAAGTAGTATATATTTCTAATTATTTTATGAACCGCTTTACCATCCCGGTCGTTATCATTATTTTGAATTTTGACTGCTGTAACAGCATAGTCCAAGTCTAGCCAAAAGTAAGATGAAATTCAGCAAAAAACTGTTTCATCTATAACTCTCAATTTAACTATATATAAACCCTAAAATGATCTTTCAATTTCAATTCGAGAAGGAAAAGAAATATTTTAAACTAAAAAATTTATAAGAGATCGCTCCTGCCATTGATCTTTTTGCATTTTTAATTTTGAAGAAAATATTTGTTATTTAGATAATTTATTGCTACTGAAGTTACTTGCTCTATTTTATAAACATAACCAAGTCAAGTTTCAAAGTAAATCTACCAAAAGCAGAAAAGCTATTTGATAAAGGAGATGTAAAGCAGGTTAATAAGTTAAAAACCTTATGAAGCATGCAATTTGCCCAAACTAAGTAATATAATTCTGGCATCATCATTAAACAAACTTTGACAAAGCAAACTCCATATGAGGTGTAAGATAACCAAGCAATTGATATCAATGATACATGATACAGTTTGTTGTAGAATGATGTCATTTGCATTCAAAAGGCATGAGTCACAAATATGTGATGGATGGAGGAGAAAAACCAAACTTTGCACACAAGCATCGGTTCCCTGATGATGTTAACAATCTACAAAATCACCGAGTTCCAAATTCTAGTCTTTTCTTACAGATTACAGTTTGGGTTTCTTATTAAGGCTCAAAATGAGACGTCTCCATTTTCCAATTAAGAATTTAGTACAGAAACAGATTGTAAATGATATTTATGTCCAGTAAGCGTATATTTAAACTTTTTTGATCCCCAGGAAACCACTTCCTAGCACAAACAAAAGTTAAAAAACATGCCCATCATATCCACAATTAATCATAATGATTATAAGATTGTAATAGCAAACAGAGAAAATAAGGCAGTTGACGTGAAGAAAAGATGAGAACGATGATCGTGAATTAAGAAATTACCAGCCACTAAGGAGCAGAGACGTGAAAGTTATCGTAAAATTAATGTTGAAGGGTGTTGTAAAAACGTGAGAACCGGTGGCGGGTTAAGGGCTTGGGAAGAGATGGTTTCTTCTTAAGACCAAATATCTCCTGGACCAGAGGGACGTGAACCAATAGTAGCTTCCAGGCCAAGAACCAACCCAGAAGAAGCAAGGAAAGCACAAAGGAGATAGCAAGGATTGGACGAAGAACAAGGAGGTTGAAGCGATCTGAATATGCAAGAGAGCAGTCAAGAGACGATTCCATTTACATTTAAGGCTTCTTCTGCTAATAAATCCCTGAAAATAAGTAATTTGAGTGAGTACCGAATCCTTATCGTCTCTGGATGATAAAGCTTTTCGGGTAGAGTTGTGCCAATTCAATAAATTTCAAATTTGCACGCAAACTCATATCATTACAATATATTTGTGAGTTCGTAAACGGAGAAATATTAGAGAAAGGAAAGCAAAGATTGAAAACAAGAACTATTCCTGTCCATACTTCAAAGAGATTATAAATGAGACTAATTTCCTGATTTCAGTGATTGAACCATGGCAATGAATTGATAGCAACTAATTGACTCCATACTTAGCAATTTTATACCTCCATGACATCCAAATACATTCATAATACGAAGACGAACTGCATACCTGAGTATTGATGATTGCCAATGAAGACGATTACTTGAACTCTGACGATTGACTATTAGGGTTAGAATTGAAACGGAGAAGAGGAAATAACGATGTTGATTTCCGTCGGGTCGTATCCGGGTTCGAAACAAATGCCATTCAGAATTCCAGGTATTGCTTTGGGGCTTTGGGCCATATAGGTTGGGCTTAGATGGTCGGGTTACATATTTTCGTTTTTTAAATACATAAAATAGTAACCTATTTTTATAAAAAAATTTATTATAATATTTTATTTTTGTTTTTTTCTATTACAGCAATGTATTTTTAAATTATTTTTTATTAAAGCATTATACTTTAAAAAATCTACTCATTATAGCAATGGTTAAACTATTACCTTTTAAACCGGTTAACCTTTTGATTTTTTTTTGCTTGTGTGGCTTTAATAAGGTGATGTGGATGACACATCTTTTTGATAACTTAACTAAAATAAAAATAGAAACCTATTTCAAATTATTATTAGTGATTTTTATTTTTTATTGCTATGATCTAAAAAACATTAATTTTTTTTGACTTTTTCTTATTAACTTGAATGCAAATTAAATATTCTTAGAGTAAATTATTTATTAAATAAATATGAAACATTATTTTTGAGATATATTTTGTTTGTAAAAAATATAACTCTTCTTATTTTATGTTGTTCAAATAAATACATTTTTTTTAAAGTTCTCTCTAAAATTTTAACGAAATAAATTGTGTTCTACAATTTCTTAATATTTTTATATTAATAAATAATTCAAAAATATATAATTAATTTAATATATTTATACGTCAAGTAAATTTTTTTTGAAAAAATATAATATGTTCTTTAAAAGATAATATTTTTTGGTAAAAAAGAAACAATTTTTATTTTCCTTTTTCTCAAAAAACACATGTTTTTTAAAAAATATTAGCGAGATAAGTTGTGTTATACTAGTTTATTTATATTGGTATATTAATGAATAATTTAGAATTTTTTTAATTCATTTAATATATTTATTAAATAACATGTCAAATATCTAAATATTAAAATTAAAAATACAGTGTTTAATAATAACTAGTAGATGCAATAATAAAATAATTTTGAAAGTACAATGATGTAGTAAGAAAATCACATCACTATAGTACACGTGGACAGCCTACGTGGACAATGAGATGGCATGGAAACCTGATATAATGGGTAAATTTAAATCAAAAAGTTACCCAATGCTATAATGGGTATATTTTTCAAAGTACAGTGTCCTAATAAAAAATAGTTTGAAAGTACATTGTTGTAATAAGAAAAACTGAAAGTACAATGCTATAATAAAGAAATTTATGAAAGTAGATTGCTATTTTGTGCATTTTGCCCTGGATTAAATGCATAAAATAGTAACTTACTTTTATGAATTTTCTTATTATAATATTATATTATTACTTTTTTATTATAACAATATACTTTTAACTGCTTTTTATTATTTAACTGCTAAAATAATTAGAATTTTATAATTTAACTGCTAAGATGCAAGAAATTTTTAATAATTGAAAATTGGCGTGCTCCCGAATGTGGTGCACCAAACGGTTCAAACGCGATTACACGTTTGAATAAATGTCATGTTGTAGGCTCAACCTAATGTGTCGTTATGCATATATACGAAACCGGCAATCCGTATAGTGCGCTCCATACATCACACGTTGATACGCAGCCGGCAGTGGATGGGCCAAGACGTACAGGAAGAGTAACCTTTACTCCAACATGGCAACGAGATTACGTGATGGATAAAGCCTAAAGACTTGGTTGCGGATAA